TGCGGGTTTGGTGCGACGACATCGAGCGCAGGCTTGAAAGTGGGAGAAACAAGGCGGGTGTTACTTGCCTGGGACAGGGCAGGCCGGGGATACGGCCTTCTCTATGGCGCCGCTGGGCACGAGGTGTCGGACTCGGAGGGGAGGCGCTTACGACGAGACGGGCGTGGCTTTGAGGGGGGTTCACAATGCCGTGAAAACAGACGCGCGAACATGAGCCCGCGCCCGAACATGTGCAGCAGGATTATAGGCGCAAATCTGCTGTGTACCGTTACATTGTTGTCGGCCAAAAGGTCGACAACAGGGGGGTTAATATGCTACGGTGCACCTTCTGCAATAAGGTGTTTCAGGGAACCCAATTCTACGCAACGAAACACTTCACCCAGCAGAGTTATTGCAAGGTGTCCGATGATGCATTGTACTAGATTACGCAGTAATACACACTCCGCTTCGAGGCCGAACAGGTAGAGAGGGTGCGGCGGTTTGCACACGAGCGTGGTCTCGATGTCCCGCGGTCTGGTGCGATGGGTGGCGAGGCAGAGCGTCCTGCACAGGGCGTGGGCGAGGGAGAGGATACCGAGCGTTATGCGGAGGGAGGTGTTGCGAGATATGGGGAGGGTGCGGGTGCCGCGGAGGAGGACGAGGCAGACGTTGACCTAGAGGTTGGCGTGGCTGAGGGAGAGCGGGCACCGAGGGGAGACGGGGGCGTGCCGAAGTCCGATCCGATGGCTCGTCACAGGGCGGTGGACTGGGAGCGGAAGTGCGAGAAGAAGCCCGTCCCGCCCAAGATGACATGCATGCCGAGTTCTTCGAAGAGTGTTGTTCCTGATAGAGCATGCACGCCAGGTTCTTCGAAGTGGAAGGAGGCGGGTGCACATGTTTCTGCAACCAATGCAGGGAAGAGGCTGCGGCAACAGAAAATGACGGACACGTATGGTGGCGAGTGGATCGGTCAGTGGAGGAAAGCATTCTTTCACTGGGTGTATTCCAGCGGGATTGCCTTCAATGCCTTCCGCAACACGCCATACCATGACCTCCAGCAGGTTCCTCGTCGGCAACCTGGTGGAGCACCTCTTCCCGTTCTTCCATCCCACAGCGAGATCGCAAGCATGCGAGCTGTGGAGATCCACCGCGAGGAGTTGGCAGAGGAGTAGGAGGAGGTTAGGCAGCCATTATGGGTGAGTGGCGCCACCCTCCTCTCTGACGGGAGGAAGTCACAAGACGGGCGACCGATCGTGAACTTCCTCTCAGCTGGGTCTCGAGGGGTCGTCATGTACACGACGATCAACCGAGAGGGGGAGCCGGACAATGCGGTGCACGTCCTGCAGAATTGGGTCACCATCTTCAATGGTTTCAGATTCGATGGCCCACAGTGGGTCAATACTATATGCACTGACTCCGCGTCTGCATACGTGGGGGCTGCGAGGGCTTTGGCCTCGCCATCTATGCCCCCTGAGCTGAGGAGGATTACTTAGCTCCCGTGCTGCGTCCATGTCTGCAACAAGTTGTTGTCAGACATTGGCACGATCTGCACCTCTTTCGTGGACACGATCACGCGTGCCCAAGTTCTGGTGGTGTTTTTTAAAACCCACCAGACCGCTCTCACCTTCTTTCGAAAGCGGAGTGAGGCGTTGGGGCTCGTGCTTTCATGCGAGACGCAGTTTGCGTCCGTGTACTCCATGTTGGAGAGGCTGCTTGCTTTAAAGGATCGTTTGCAGGGCATGATGACAGGGAAGGACGGTCGGGCTTGGGCTAGGATCCCGTGGTTCCACGACGTTCGTGACATGGCGCGTTGGGTGCGCCGACAGATCAGGTGGTCCCCTTTGTGGGAGAGGATGCCTGCCATCAAGCACGTCATGGATCCTGTCATGGACTTGCTGAGGCGGATGGACCGTGGCGGGTAGTTCATGTCCCTCGTTGTAGAGTGGACTCGGGATCTTGCACGCCTTGTGCGGGACGCTTGCATTCCTCTTGGCCAGTCTTTTTTTGACCGTGTCATGAGGCGTGTGCAGGCCCGTATACAGCACATGATGGAGCCCGCACACTGCGCCGCGTTCTTACTGAACCCCCGTCGCCGGGATGTTCAGTACTTCTCCAAGCAGCTCGACCGGTACCTCACTTGGCTTGTTCGACAAGCCAAGAGATATCTGTTGTCTCAGACGAGCCACGACGAGTCGGGTGGTCGTTACCTTGAGGTATGTCGGCAGTTCGAGGACTTTCACATGCACCAGGGTAGGTATGGGACATGAGGTGGGGCAGAGGGTCGCGCTCGAGCGAGTAGTTGCAGCGGAGACTGTGAGACGTTGGAGCGTGCGTCGTGGTGGTCTCAGTACGGGAGAGACGAGCCTGATTTACAGCATTGCGCTCTTCGTTTGATGCACATGTGGTCCTGCGCCTCTCCAGCAGAGAGGAACTGGGCGGTCCACGAGGGCATCCATACGAAGAAGCGTAATCAGTTGGCCTTTGAGAAGGTCGTTCATCTTGTTGAGATCACCGCAAATRTGCGGTTGATGGAGTATAGACGTGCAGGTTGTGGATACGTCCTCCCTTGGCAGCAAGACGAGGGCATCCTTGAAGGTCAGGCGGAATGAGACGTGGAGCCTGTGCGCTTGGGGACGAGGAGTGGGATGACGGAGAAGGAGATCTAGGAGCAAGCTGCCCTCATTGCGCGCGATTCCATTGGGTCTTCTGCGCCGCCCCCTGTTGAGTCTGTTTTCAGTGCTCGTGCGACTATCTTCCGCCCATACCCCAGGGACGATGACTCTGCGGATGAGAGGGAGTCGAGAGCAGCGGACGACCCCATGCTTCCCATCCCACGTGAGACTGATGAGTTGCATGAGGAGGGCGACGTGCGTGACGAGAGGACGCAAACCGCGCGGAGAATGGCAGAGCAGCAAGACATGGATATGATGGGGGGTGAGGAGCTCTGGGGATCTTTCGGGGCACGAAGGAGAGATCACCCACTATCGAGCGGGAGGATACACGTCCTCACACGACCTTGCGGGAGGAGACGCCTGCTCCCATGACTGCGAGTGAGGAGCCGGGTGACCGGGTCCTACCACGACAGTGCAGGAGCGGACGACTATTTCGTCGACCGCGCAGGAGCAGACGCCTGTTCCCACGACCACGCGAGAGCAGACGAGTATTCCCGCGACGCAGTCCGCACCCTCGTCGCAGTCGCCTCTTTCGCGTCATTCTATTCCAGCATCCGCTCCGACCGCTCCTGTTCGGCATGACGAGTGCTCACCTGCACCGGTTGGGAGGGAGGACTTGGGATCCTCGTTGCGCATCCACGGGCATGGATCATTGTTTAGCGTAGGCCGTCAGCTCGTTTTGGATCCGCGTGCATCGAGCGACTTGCGGGAGATGGGTGTTCATAGCGGGGTACCACCGGTGGAGGAGAGGGAGAGACGAGTGGAGGAGCACGGAGCCGCCGAAGTGGGCGGAGTTGAGGGTATTCGGGGTATGGAGGAGGAGGTAGATGGAGCAGTGGGGGGTGTGGTGGAGGTAGATGATGGTACGCACACCGAGAGAGAGGAGGCCATGGCGAGGGTTGATGATGGTGAGCAGGTTGAGGGGGCGGAGGGCGTGCTGCCATCGGAGGTTGAGAGGGAGCGCGACTTGGCGAGGATGAGAGTTGAGAGAGAGGAGGGCGTGGCAGGGGTAGATGATGGTGATGCCCAGGTTGAGATGGAGGAGGATGTGGTGAGGGCAGATGCTGCTGCGTTCGTTGGGGGAGAGGAGGGTGTGGTAGGGGGGGACGTCCCCCATGGTAGAGGAGAGGGAGGAGACGACCTTGACCCGATCGTCCAGCGTTTCGTTGATGACGAGATAGGTCCCGCACTAGCGGGTTTGACCCCGGGCACGAGGAGGGCGCTGGGTGCGTCGCCATCAGGACAGAGGGGGGCATCAGGGTTGGGGATGGGGGATTTCATGGACATGTATGTGGGGGATCCTCCCAGCCCTAGTCACGGAGACAGAGAGGATGTGGCGCGTGCCCTAGCGGCCGCTGGGCACTCCACAGAGGAGATCGAGCAGGCATTTGCAGGACACTCCGGGAGAGAGACAGACACGCTTCAGCAGGGGTGCGAGGAGGTAGTAGAGCAGCCACAGGCGGAGCGTGAGGATGCACCCGCTGCAGATATCCCCGGAGGTAGCAGTTCATTGGTACCATTCACGGGCATGTGGATGACGGCGACGATGCGGCCAGTTCGACCGTGTGTGCAGGGGTCAGATCCTGGGGAGGTGGCATTTGTTCAGGTACCACCGCTCATAGTCGTGGATTTAGGATCTGAGCCAACGCTTCATACACCGGTTACTGGGCGGCGAGCTCCTCAGGATACAACTCGCCCATTGGATTTCGCGGAGCTCGCACGGGGTGTTGTGCGTGATGTGACACGGCAGGAGGACACCGACCCTAGCAGACCACTTATGTCGCCTCCTCCTCCCAGATTACGTCACAGTGATTCCCCCTCGACACCAGTCGGTCGCACCCCCCGTTCACCATCCACGCCGACCAGACCCAGGGTTTGTGACACGACGGTCGTAGGGAGCCTCCCTCTTGACACGTCGCTATTCGGGAGGACGGATATCGACCTGGAGTCCGTGCGTCGGGTCACAGTGCACACTGCACGACAGCAGCCAGGTTTGGGTTGGGCAGTACCAGGAGGGGTGCGCCGAGGGAGGTCATGGTGGCAGTATCTCAGCCGCAAGATGTTTGTGGGGTTGGACAGGCCGGGTGTACCTTGCAGGCCGCTTTGGCAGCAGCAGCACGTGCTGTGCGTGACCAGACTTTGCACAGGAGCGGAGTAGCTCGTCCGCGTCCCATGCCTGCCACGGGGGGTGCCGCATTGGAGGAGTCTTCTGGAGCCGAGGGGTTGGGGATGCCGCGCGGTTCTTGTCGTGAGAAGACAGACGTAGAGGTGACTCATGTGAGTGCTAGGCTTGTTCGGGTGAGGACGGGGGCTGACCCTGTGACCGTGGTGGAGGACGATCCCGAGACGGAGCCTGCATGTGAGGAGGTCGCACAGGAGGGTGACGAGTACAGGGACGACGAGGAGCGTGAGGAGGAGGAGAGCGACAGCGGGGATGATGGCAGCTACCACGACGACGACGACGAGCCCTCCCCTCCACCGCAGCATGGTTCTCGTAGACGACGTGGCTCTCGTAGACGACACGATGACGTCGACGACCCGTCCCCTCCAGGGCGGCGGGAGACGAGGAGTCGAAGGAGGCGAGGGTCATCCGTTGCGACAGCGCCGGGGCAAGGGAGTGTTTCATCGACACGCAGCACGAGTGGGGCGAGGCAGAGAGGCAGTGGTAAGGGGAAGGGAAGTCGACGGTATTGACAGCTTCGTTCCCCTTCCATGACGCCTTTATGTTGTTAGTGCTCAGTGTTCTGACGTTTTTGTATATTGTTTAGGATGACGTACATATAGTTAGGTTTTAGGGACTTCGGACCAGTTCATGGACTTCAACATGCAGGTAGTATCGTCGAGAGTGTTTGTTTGTTTCGCTTTTCGGTTTATGTACGGCGTTTTCATATTGTTTTTTAGTTATTGCCACTTATTGGGTTTTTGTTAGAGGTGGGACTTCATTCTGACTTGTCGTATTACGTAGATGTTTGTTAGGGTTTTCTTTTCAGCTTTGTTAGTTAGCGGTGTAGGCTGCATCCCATCGCTGTATGGCCCCGTACGACGCGGCACGAGTGTCGACGACACATTGTACCATGCGACTTCGCCGGCACTTCGGCATGACTTTTGTATGACATTTCATTACTATGTTTTCATTGTAGTTTCATGTTCTTCTATGCAGTTATTCTTGTGTGTGTTTGTGTGTGTGTGGGGGGGGGGGGGGGGGGGGGAGTTTGTGTTTGTGTGTCCGTGCAGCCCTCCCCCAACAATCACTCAATCATTCAATTGTTACGATCCTGGTCATTTCCCAAGTGCAATTCACAACGAAAGACAATGCCACCCAATTGCGAAAGAAATGAAAGCACTTGCAAAGAGATAAAGGCCAGAGAAGAAAGGGGAAGAAGAAGAAGAAGAAGAAGAAGAAGAAGAAGAAGTACACCAGCAAGACCAATGAGTGGCAATGACAATTCCCCCCTTCTCTCTCCAACCTCCTCCTCCTCCTTCACTTTACCAATCTTAGAATTCTCTCAATAATAATAATAACAATGAATGGATGAATTAGAATCAATATCCGAAGTTCCCTCTCACTACTGACTCAACTCCACAACAACAATAACAACAACAAGCCCACCATAGCTATGGCTTCCCTCCTTCAGCCTTCCCTCTCATGCATAGGCTATGGCGGACTGATGAGGGCCCTGCCCTCATGTACAAAAGACAACCCAAAGCAACTATGGTGCTCAGCCTACCAATGTCCAAAGGACAACCAAAGAGCAGCTATGCCGCTGCTGACTGGTCCGCCATGCCTGACTCTGCCTCGAGCTTCCTTGGTGCAGCGCTACCCCAACTGGGGCCTTCTGGATGCAGCGCCCAACAAGGTGATGAAGACGGTGTCCACCATAGCCAGGTAAGTGCCTCGCTACTCTCCTACCATGCCCCTTCTTCCTCCTCCTCAAGCTGGACTGCTTGCCATAGCCAAGCTGAGCTCCAGCGGTCCCTTCTCCCTCCAAGCAGCGCTGTACCTCTAGCGCCGTGCTCCAGCAGCATGTCGCCAATCCTTGCACACCGCAAATGAGGAAGAGCTCTTTGCTCTTCCTGGAGATATAGCGGCCTACCGGCCTCCTGGGTGGTGACTTCCTAGGCCAAGCGGCCTCCCAGCAACCGGTACCTCCTCCCTTTCGGAGGGAAACATCATTGCAGGCTCTGCTATCCTCCGGAAAGGCCCTAGACCCGGGCTACTTGGACTGGTACCGACCTACCTCTAACCTACCGCTAGTGGACCTCTAAAAATGCCAACTTTTTGTCTTCTTCTGCTCGGCCTTCAGTACCCGACACTCATACCACTACTCGAGTGGTACCGGGCTACCTGCTACTCGAGTGTTTTCCCCCTGCTCTAAGTGTCGCGGGCCTACCCCCGCTACTTGAGTGTCTACCCCCCTGCAACCTTCACAGTCGCAGCCACAGGTAAGTACCGGCCCTGCGGGGCCTTGCAAACAACAAGTACTCTTGCGGGTCACACACACTCAACCGACAAGCACTCAGACAGTCATGCAAACTAGTAGGCACGCACACACACACACACACATGGAAATCACAGCAGAATGCGGGAATTTCAGCAAGGCATTCATTCCAGCGGCAAATCCCAGAAATCAGCAGTGTTCTCAGTCTGTGTTTTGGCGGGTCATCACACAATAAAAAAATAACCACAAAACATCAGGAAAAAATTAAAAACTAAAACCGAGATTGGGTGGGGGCTGGGTGGTTTGGGCGGGTGTGTTTAATTTAGTTTTGTTTCTTCCGAGCGATCTCCTGCGCCCCCGCCATGCACGGCGACACGCCCGCAGCCGCGGGCGCGGCCCCTGTTGTTCGGTTTCCCACTAAACGGCGAAGCCGTTCGACGGGTATTCAACGGAGTTGAATCCATTCAACGGGGATTCAACTCCCGTTCAACGGGTTCAACGGGGATACAACGAGCGGGGTTGATGACAAACCCCTGTTATTTCGGTTCACGTCGCCGGACACGAGTGCCCGACTGCTATTGCGCGCAGTCCGCGGAACCCCATTCAACGGGAACCGGCCGTTGAATCGTTCAATGGGGTTTCAACTCGGGCCTTGTGCGCGTTCAACGGGTACAACGGAGTTGAAAAAATCCCGTTAGTAGTTGAATGGACACACGGGCATAACATATATTATTTTCGGAGTTTTCTGAATTCTTTTTTTTTTCATGACCGCGGCCTCGTGGCCGAGACCACGGTCTGCGGTCGTGCCCGCGACGACCGCGACCGCGGTGGATTCATAGCGCATGTGGTCACATTGAGACGGAATAGACCCTCGAGATGGCCTAAAAAAAATAACAAAATAGGTCGGGAATGGAAAAGAAGGAGGAAGAAGCAGGGGATAGTGAAGTCTCATTATTACCCTGTGTAGCATCGTGTTCGGGTTCTGTGACCGAACCCGAACGTTCGGGACCGAACACGAACGAGCGTCAAAACTCTCCAAACGTGAACGAGCACCAAAACTCTCCGAACAAGTTCGGTGTGCTACACAGTTATTACCTTCCCCACAATGCTCCAAATGTCAATTCGATATGTTGCGCGTGCCCATGAAACGACTCTGAATACACCAGTATGTCGTCCATGTACACAATGATGCAAAAGTTGATCATTCCTTGCGTCGGGCGGGTCTTGTTCACAAAATTTTAGAAGGTGACATTCATTGCTTTCTGAAAGTGGCTGGTGCGTTACATACAACATAAAATTTCCCATGAGAAATGAAAGTTGAAAAAACATTCCATAAAAAAAAATCTTTCATATTTATAAATTACCATTTCAATGTTTGTCCAATTCTAAAATTTTCAATTTAATTTGATAAGTTCCTGTCCAATTATGAGTTTTCCCTTCCAACTACATCTATTTGTTCAAGATGGAATGAAAGTCTGGACGAGTTTATGAAATGTTTTAATTAGACTTTCATTCTACTACAACAAGTATCGTCTAATTTAGATTGGATTAACCTATTTATGACTGAAAATCCTTACTTAGAATGGCAGTCCAATTAAAATATTTCATTAACTCATCCTAACTTTCATTCCATCTCTAGCATGCTGTTCAAATAAGAAGGGATACCCCATTCTTGGAAGGAAAGTTTTCAAGTTAGACGGAAAATTTTAAAATTGGAATGCCATTTTTTAAGATGGAATGAAAATTTGAAATTTAGAATGTAATTTTTCTCTAGAATGATTATTTAACTCTGGGAAATTTTCCTGTTGTATCCCCATAGGGCATCGGATCCATTGCCACGTGCCTTCAAATAACACAAACGTTGTCTTTGGCCGATCTTCTTCCTTTACCAAGATGTGATGAAATTCGTGACGAATATCAAACTTACCTCGTTAGACACATATTCGGGAACATGCAGCTCGTAAGGTCGTCTGCGAATGGTGGTCTCTACCTGCTTGGTGTGATTTGTCTTCGTGTCTTGGGACAGGGGAGACGAAATAAAGGAGTGGTCCGATCGCCAAGAGAAAACTGTGTTGACCATCTGGGCATCCTCCTCGCGGATGGCCATTTGTCCTTTTGGGGTTCTTTTCTCTTCTTCGTCTCGGTGGTCTAGCGATTTCTTCGCAATTTTTATCCCGCTTTCGAAGAGGGAGGCGTCGAGTTGTTCAGGGGATTCCAAAGTGTGGATCTCGGCGCCCCTATGCAACTGGCGAACTTCCTTTCCTATTATGAGCAGAGGTCGGGGAGGTAGTCCCGTGACGTCGCAGAAAGATCGTTTGTCCATGCAGCGAAGGAGCAGTGGGGTCGTTGTCTCGTATAGGGTTCGAGCAGGTTCCCAAGAGTCTGTCATCCGGATAGTTCCACCAGTGGTTCCCCAAGAAGCATTGTGTGTGCACGGTGAGCCCGTTTTATGCGAGCACTGGTTGTATTCTTCAACAGAAAAAATGTGGAAAAAACCCGTCAAGTTTCCAACTCGGTGCCCGTGGTGGACCAGCGTTGGAACGACGATAAATGCCTTGCCCAACCGTTGGACCATCACCGTTGTGTGTTTCCAACAGTTTGATCAACACGTGGCCAACGTTGGTCCAACAACTGTTCAACGTTGATCCAACGTCTTTCCAACACGTCTGTGTTGAAATTAAAGTGCTGTCAGGTTGCCATGACAGGAGTTGACTACTGCGGGCCAATTTAGGCACAATCACATTGAATCCATCTGATTTGGCCCGCGGTAGTCAACTATGGACTTGGACGAGGTGCGCGGGTTGACAATTGCGCACGGAAAGCGAACATATCAAAAAAATGGAGCGCACGAAAGGTTCAGGAACTGCGCCCCGCCCTTCCTCCTTCGTGCATGTCAACAAAAATCGTGAAGAGAAAAGAAAAAAAAAAAAGAAAAAAAGACTAACAAAAGGAACCAAAAAAAAAAAAAAAAAAAAAAAAAAAAAGAAACCGGGCAGGCGATGGGAAAACGCAGTCGCACACCCAACGTGACGGAACCACGTCGGTGTGGTTGGTCCACCCAACGTGACGGAACCCATGTCGCCCTTTTTTATTTTGGAATTTTTTTTTTTCGTGATGGTTGATTGTGCCTCAGGTGAGGACGTCTCCCTCGAAGGCCGTGTCCTCGCTGCGCTGTCCGGACTGACCATATACCACGTGCGGCGATGTGCCGCGGGGCGGGGATGATACCAACCCCGGGCAAAAAAGAATGCGTCGCTTCCTCGATCCCCGTTGTTTCATATTTAAATGTTTTATCTTTTTTTTTTTTCCACG